TAAGGTAAATGCCTTAAGCCCCGTGCTATCTCCCTTGACCCTTTCCCCTGTTTGTTTGTTTTGTCTTTCTGCTCCAGAGTCTCATCCAACACGTGTTCTCTTTAATCATCATGGCTCCTTACGAGCTTCTGGCTTGTTTCTTATCCATCAAAGTTCTGAAGATTATTGGTCAGGTATTTTGTGGAATTAAAAATATTATTTCAATTTACTGCTAGAGAGATTAAAGCCTCTTCAAGGGACTAAATATCTGATGCTAATGATCATGAATCTGGTCTAGTAATACTTACCTGATCATTTCTTTACCAAAAAAGTATCTTTCCATAAGAGAATCATTGAATTGGTTTGTTTAGGTCTATTCAATTATGAAAATTAAAATTTGCAATCAGTTAAGCCCTACTCTTTCAACGGATTACAAAAATATTTCAGCGCATAAACACATACATGGATGAAATACATAACTTGGTTCTCCCTGAAATAAGTAAACTTTAACATTTGATTTCTAAGAATTCACTCTCAATTTCCTTTGTGTAGGATAATTACACACTTTTGAAGTGGTGAAGAAATTTATAGGTGATACCTTCTCAGTTCAAATGCCATTTAGACACAGTTGTATTGCTCATCCTGACTTTATAGGTTTTAGAGCCCCCGGTCATATTTTTATACCCCCCCAAAAATATAGGCAGGATGTTTTATTCATGTTTATTACCTTAAACATGACCCTACACTAAATAAAGATCATCAAAAATACTCAAAGGGAAAATTAATGAGGTTCTAATTTCAGCCTGGACCAAAGAATGCCTACTTATTTAAAACTGTTGTTTGGGTTATAAAATGAGATCTTTATCTAATTTAATTAGTGTATGTGATGAGCCTGCTTATATTCATGTCAGTCAAAAGTCAAATAATCCAATACTCATACAGCGTTGCTAATGGTATATTTACATTGGTACAGACTTGAACAAAAAATTTGGAGATATATAAGGACATTATCTGTAGCACTGTAGCACTGTCCTCCAAGTCGTTCATCGATTTGCTCAAGCAGGCACCAGTAACATCTCCATTGTGAGACTGGTTGTTACTGTTTTTGGCATATCGAATACACCATGGGGAGCTTGCCAGGCTCTGTCATCCGGGTGGGACACTCTTGGTGGCTTGCTGGGCTCTCCAAAAGGGACGGAGGAATTGAACCCGGGTCGGCTTCATGCAAGGCAAACGCCCTACCCACTCTGCTATTGCTCCAGGACATATGAAGGACATATATAAGAAGATATATCAAGGACAGTTGTTACTGTAGGGCTGGAGTGATAGCACAGCAGGTAGAGCGTTCGCCTTACAAGCGGCCAACATGGCCGACCCGAGTTCGATTCCTCCGCCCCTCTCGGAGAGCCCGGCAAGCTACCGAGAGTATTCGATATGCCAGACACAGTAACAACAAAGTCTCCAATGGAGACGTTACTGGGCCCACTCGAGCAAATCGACGATCAACGGGAGGGCCTTTACCTTTACCTTTACCTTATCAAGGACAGTAAACTCATCTTGTAATTTAATAATCTAGTTTCTACTTTCTATTTAAAAGTATGGCAATGAAGGTATTGGCATGAACATAACTCCTTAATATATATTATGGTAGTAAAATGAGAGGGAACCTGAGTATCTAGTAAAAGGAGTTAGTAGGTCCCTACAGTTATTATACTCTCAATGATACATTACGTAATTAGTGAAATATTAATTGGAGAGATTAATTATGGAAAAAGAAAAGTGAAAAGTTGAAATAGGGGCTTGGGAAGTGGCCCACAATAGAGCACATGGTCCGCAGATGCAGCTGATGCTTGTACTGTGCTCCCACCCGCCCCTACACTGTGCTCCAACACACACCTGCACTGCTCTCCCACCCCACCCCTGCACTGTGCTCCCACACCACGCCTGCGCTGCTCTCCTACCCCAACCCTACACTGTGCTTCCACCCACTCCTGCATCTCCCCACATCACATCCTCCACCACAATGCAAAGTGATCACTTTAACTCACATACATGTGTGTATATATGAAAATAAACAAAATGATAAAAAGTTGTTTTAGTGCTATGGATAAATTTTACATCTATTAAAAATTCTCTAATAATGAGTGATATTTAATATGACCTTAAGCATTACCAACATGTGCTTGAATTTCTAAAGTATTGGGGGTCAGGGTGCAGCAAATAGAGCATTTGCCTTGCACACAGCTGATCCGGATTTGATCACCACTGCCCTATTTGGTCCCCCGAGTTCTGCCAGAAGTGATCCCTGAACAAAGAGTCAGGAGAAGCCCTGAGCACTGTTGGGTGAGGCCCCATAAGAAAAACAAATTTCTAGTTTAGAATATCATATTGTCAATTCTTGCTGAAATGGTACATTAAAAAAATGTTTGATAATGTTCTTTTGTTGGCAGACAGTGATTATTTCAGCTGAGAAATGTCAATTGTTGCTATAGCATTTCTAAAATTACAACAAAGCTTCATAATAACTAGTAAGGGCACTCTTGGAAAATGTGGAGAATAAAATATTAAGTGAAGGAAAATGTCAAACTCAGTCAGTGACAAGATCAATGTAAGAGACAGGATTGAGTTTGAGGTTTTATTTTTTTAAACTTTTTTTTTTTTAACTTTTTGGGTCACACCCGGCAATGCACAGGGGCCACTCCTGGCTCTGCACTCAGGAACCATTCCTAGAGGTGCTCAGGGGACCATATGGGATGCTAGGAATCGAACCCGGGTCTGCCGCATGCAAGGCAAATGCCCTACCCACTGTGGTGAGGATTGAATTCAGGGACTCACAAGGATTAAATTCAGGGACTCAAGGATTCAGCCCCACCCTTTTAAGCTATTCTCCCCATCCCAAACTTCACTTTTTAGAAGACACTGTAGTAGTGGGGAAGACAGGTATGTAATTAGGATAGGGCTGGTAATAAACTCAGAACTAGGGCACCTGTGTTCAGTTCCTGCCATATATGTGTGTGTATATATGTGTGTGTATGTGTGTGTGTGTGTGTGTGTATGAGACACACACACACAGAGACAGAGAGAACAGAGAGAGACAGAGAGACAGAGAAAAGTAAAAGAATTAGTATGGGGAGTGAGCTCAAAGGGTCGGATGTCACATGCCTGGATTTAGTCTCCTGCATTTCTTGGATTCCTTAGCATTATTTGGGAGAACCAAGACAACAAAATCCCAAAAAAGCAGCAAGGGTGAGGGTGAAATCTGGTGAGTCTTTGCCTAGATTATTGCATAGTGTCCGAAGCCAGTCAGATTGGCATACTCTGTCCTGCAGGGGCGGGTTGCAGAGACTGGGACATCACAAAAAGACGAACTCTTAAGGACTGTCCAAGGTCAGAGCAGCCCGGGCAGCCCTCAGTGGTCTCGAAGGCTGAGGCAAGCAGCACGTGGGCACTGCCGTCTCCGGAGAGCAGAGGCCGGGGGATGTCACAGCACCAGTCAGTGGACCTGCTTACAGTGTGACATTGCCTGACAGTTCCCTATTCCATTTTTCCCAGTATTATTTTCTACGTCAAAAAGACCCTGGACTGTTTTCTTTTATTTGTGTGGTGCAGGTTTGCGCACAAAGACCTGAGCTGTTTGTCCGGGGGTGTATCTCAACCTTGGAGGCTTCAGTCAGGGGGACAAATTCCCACAGATTAAGATTGGGGATGGATGGGAAGTGGGATGAGATATTTCTATAAAATAGATTCAAAAGTATGACTTTTTTTTTTTTTAGAGTGGAAGATACCCCAAACCATCTTGGCTATAGGTTACCCATAACCTTCAGGGTGGGGATAAGTGGCTGACAGGTTAGTGGTGATTGAAGATCTTTGCTTTTATCTGATATGCTCTGTGAAACTGACCATGTGTCACTGGAAAGAGTGACATGAAAAAGAATGACCACTCAAAAAATGACTTAAAGGCCATGTTGATTCTAGAGACTTCATGCAATGAGCTGGGAGAGGAGAGGAATACAAATGGTGAGGTCCCTGCAATTAAGCCATTAAGTGAAAGGGAATTATTAAGTATCTGCAATTAACAGGAAGAGAGACGAAAGGAAGACAAATTGTGAGCTCTCTGCAATTAAACCTTCATTGCATGAAATTATCTGGATTAACACTTCTAGAACAGAGTTTACTTTTTATTTATTTATTTATTTATTTTTTTGCTTTTTGGGTCACACCCGCCGGCAATGCACAGGAGTTACTCCTGGTTGATACCCTCAGGAATTGCTCCTGGCGGTGCTCCGGGGACCATATGGGATGCTGGGAATTGAAGCTAGGTCGGCTGCGTGCAAGGCAAATGCCCTCCCCACTGTGCTATTGCTCCAGCCCCCGAAAAGAGTTTACTTTAAAAGCGATTTAAGTACTTTAAAAGTTTTAAATAATTTTTTGTGTGTTCCCTAATAGAACTGGTGCCTTCAGATTGCAGAGGATTATTTTTGACTCTGGAGAGGAAGATGGAAAGGTGAGTTCTCACAAGGGCATCTGGAACTCTAGAACTAGAGGGCCGCTGCTCTTCACTGTACCCGCTGGGGAAAAGTGGGTTTTTTTGGTTGGTGGTGCGGGAGGCTCGCGTTATGGCCCGGAGCGCTCAAGGCTGACCCTGGGTGCTCCAGGGCCCACGCACGGTGCCAGGATGGAAGGGGCTTGCCTTGCGTTAGTCGTAGGCCCTGACCGGACCATCTCCCGGGTCTTGGGTTGCATTTGATGCGGGTGCCGTCCTCATAGTCAAATGAGCGCTGCCCTGGGCCACCCTTCCACCTACCTCCCCAGCAGCTCATCCTCCTGGCCCGCAAGCTGCTGTCCCCAGGCCGCGCGGTGGCCTCTCTTCTCCAGAGCAGAGAAGCGCGCCACTGGGAACCGGTCCTGCCGCTGGCCGGGTGGCTGGAGGGGTGGACAGTCCGCTTCCAACCCGCCCGGTCTCGGCGGGGAACGCTCGGTTCCGGCCCAGCGGCCAGCGCCAACGGGCGGCGGCACTGACCTGGCGTGACCCCGAGCGCCCGCGTCCCGCCCGGTGCCAGGCCCATGTGCCCGCTGTCGCGCCCGCCGCTGCGCCCGCTGCTGCGCCTGCTTCCCGTGCCCCGCTGCCCGCGCCGCGCCCTGCCCGCTGCCATGGCCGTGGCCCTGAAGTCGGTGGACTACGAAGTGCACGGGATCGTGCAGGGTAGGCGCAGGCGGTGGGTGCGGAGCGCGGAGACGCGGGGCCTAACGGGGCCCAACGGGAACGAACGGGGCCCAACGGGGCGCGAGGAGCGCGGGAGGCGCGGGAGGCGCGGGGGCCGCGGAGACGCGGGGCCTAACGGGGCCCAACGGGACCCAACGGGGCGCGGGGGGCGCGGGGCCTAAAGGGGCGCCGGGGACGCGGGGACGCAGGGACCCTGCAGCAACGGCGGCGGTGGTGGTGGGGGGGGGGGGGTAGGGGACGGTCCGCGCCTGCGCGCGGGGGCGGGGCTCGGGGGTACGGGGCGCACGGGGCCTGACGGGCGCCGGGGACGCGGGGGGTGCGGGCGCTAACGGGGACTAACGGGGCGCGGGGACTGACGGGCGCAGGGCGGAGACTAGCAGGACCCAACGTGCGGGGACTAACGGGGGGGGGGGGGGGGGGGCGGCGCGGTGAGCGCGAAACTGCTGGCCCCAGTACGGACAGCCTTTTTTTTTTTCTTTTGCTTTTTGGGTCACACCCGGCTCAGGGGTTACTCCTGGCTCATGCACTCAGGAATTGCACCTGGCGGTGCTCAGGGGACCGTATGGGGTGCTGGGCATCGAGCCTGTGTCGGTCGTGTTGGCTGCGTGCAAGGCAAACGCCCTACCCGCTGTGCTATCACTCCAGTCCCTGGGCAGCCTTTTAGGACACCTTGTCGAGGTGTGAGGCCTCACTGAACAAAGTAAAGAGATGATTTGATTTCCCTGGGGAGAGAGTCAGTCACTCATTTTGGTTTCAGGTTCAGTTTAAAGAGTTAACAAAGGGCTCACCGTTTTCTTGTAGATTGCCTAAGAAATAAATGCCATACATGTTATCTACATAACTGTGGATATAACGATGTATCACACAGGAATACTTTATAATTAATATAGCATAATCGCTAGAGCAATGATATAGAGGTGATCCATGATATAAAGTGAGCAGTCAAAGGGACACTGTAAAAGTAAATTTAAAAATATAGAACAGTCTTGGTGCCAACTAAAGTACAATTAGGTTTACTTACTGTAAAATACCTCGTTAGAAATACTATGAAAGTTAATTTACCAAAGGAAGAAAATATCGTTGGGAACATTCATTTTAATTTATTTCTTTTAAATAAAGGTAGTAGGAATTAGACCCAGAGCCTGAGCCTGATTCCTAACAAGGTAACCCCTAGGAACATTTATTTAGTAGGGACAAAATGTAGACTGAAAAGTAAAATTGTTATTCAATATTTAAATGTAAAACATTCTCAATTAAAATGGTTTCAGAGATAAAAAAATGAAACTGGGAAAGGTGGTAAGTGATTACCTGTCCTGGAGTGAAAACTGCTCAGGGAATTAACTGACTTAATGAACTTTATCACAAAAATGTTTCCAACCCCAAGCAAGGCATTATTATATTTCTTTTGATATGTTTGAATTGAAACCATCTTTTCTGACAAATCGCTGTCAAATGTTCAAGGGGTCAGATATACTATACCCTGACTCATTCCATTTTTTCTTTTTTAATTGAACCACAGTTAGGAAGTTGTTCTTGTTTGGGTTTCAGTAGTGTAATGTTCCAACGCTGTTCCTTCAGTGCAGTTTCCCACCACCAGCAACCCAGTGTCCCTCCAGCCACCACACCCCCACCTCCACTCAGCCAGTCTTGATGTCACTCACTCCTTCACCCCTCTCTCTTACTGTCTCGATCTTACTGCTTCTCCCATTCTCTCCCTCTCTGTCTCCTCAAAAGTTATCATGTGTATCTCTTTATCTTCTTTTAGCACTCAGTTCTTATCCAGAGTGGCCAGCTATCATTGTCATAGTGGTCCCTTCTCTGTCCTTACTGCCTTCTCGCCCTTACTTGTGGCAAGCTTCCAACCATGGACCAGCCCTCCTGGCCCTCGTTTCTACTGTCCTTGGGTATTAGTCTCATACTATGTTTTTTTAAACATCTTACAAATGTGTGCAATTATTCTATGTCCAGTTCCTTCTGACTCATTTCATTCAACATGAACTCATTTCATTCAACTCTCCATGTCCATCCATGTATAAACAAATTTCGTGACTGCATTTTTCCTCGCAGCTGTATAGTATTCCATTGTGTAGATGTACCAGAATTTCTCTATCCAGTTGTTCTCGGGCACTTGGGTTGTTTCCAGATTCTGGCTATTGTGAATAGTGCTGCTGTGAACATAGAAGTGTAGATGGATTTTTTTTGGTATTGTTTTTGGGCCCCAGGGTAAATTCCCAGAAGTGATTTTTCTGGGTTGTGTGGAAGCTCATTTTCTAGTCTTTTAGAGGAATGCCCATATCGTTTTCCAAAAGGGCTGGGCCAGTCACCCTGTGTAGTTCTTAAACATAAGCACCCTAATTGACATTGGACTCAGAGAATTAGCTCATTTTCTTCATTATATTATGGGCTGGAGCAATAGCACAGTGGTAGGTTATTTTCCTTGCATGCAGCCAGCCGGCCGAGCCAGGTTTGATTCCTCCGCCTCTCTCAGAAAGCCCGGCAAGCTATCGAGAGTATCTTGCCTGCACGGCAAAGTCTGGCAAGCTACTCGTGACACATTCAATGTGCCAAACATAGTAACAACAAGTTTCACAATAGAGATGTTGCTGGGCCTGCTCAAGCAAATTGATGAACAACGGGAGGACAGTGACAGTGACTATACATTTATGGAGAATGTATTATACAGAGTAGAGTTGCTTCTCAGGTCTATTTTTGGTGTTTGTATATAGGCCTCAGGTCAATGTTGGATGCTGCTCATCCTCTTTTCTAAGTGCTTCTTTCTATTGTAACAATTTCAATCATTGATTTTTTTTTTGATGCCAGGAATTGAACTCAGGTTGACATGCAGTTCACCATGGCTCTCCATCCTTGGCCCATATCAGAAGTGCTTTAGATTCTGTTTTATTTCCTGTCTACTGCACATTCAGTTACCCTATTGTTAATATCTTATGAGTCTATGGTACATTTATCAGAACTGTGGCCACATCCTGGAGTACTATGGCCATTGATTCCTGTGGTCATTGATTCTTTGTGTGTGTATGTGTGTGTGTGTGTGTGTGTGTGTGTGTGTGTATGGCAGGAAGATGGACTGGATTCCTCAATTTGAAGAACTGCACCAATAATAATATTTTATGCTTGCAGTGCTATTGCAACACAGCTCTTTCTCCATTGTCAGTCCCCCTCCTCCATTGTCCCACAGACAGATAGACAGACAGACAGACACACACACACACACACACACACTCCTTTGCAGTCTTAGTTTTCACTCCTTTTGGTAATACATGCTATCTTATTCCAGTCTCTGTTTTATTCCATTTCCATATTCTGAAGACATTTAATGCTCACAAACTTCTGTTGTTCTGCGGGTTTGGGAATGAGTGACTGGGGAACTAGGGCTGTTTTATTTATTTATTTATTTATTTAAATTTTTATTAGTGAAACACCATGAGGTACAGTTGTAGACTTACATATTTTTGTGCTTGGGGTTCAGTTATACAATGATTGAGTACCCATATCTAGGGCTGTGTTTTAAATTATTATTTTTTTAAAGGTTTTGGGCCACACCCAGTGATGCTCAGGGGTTACTTCACTCTGGAATTAGCCCTGGCGGCACTTGGTGACCATATGGGTTGCCGATATTGAACCCAGTTTGTTCATGAAGGTCAGGTGCCCATATGCTGTACTCTGGTCCCTGGACAGCTTTGATTGTCTTGGAGCATTTGTAGATGTTATAGTTACAACTAGAATAATACACTCTGAAACCTTGAAAGGGAAACTGATTATGCTGTGTACTGTACTGGTGCTTTGCTGCTAAGTATGTGAATACTATTCGCAATCATAGAAATGGATGTGGTAATTATTTGGTTTTCCAATGCTTTCAGCAGTTTTTTGTTGTTGTTGTTGTTAGTTTTTGGCCACACCCAGTTGACCACACCCAGCTAGGAGTTGGCTTTGTGTTCAGAGATCACTCCTGGTGATGCTTGGGGAACATTATGGCGTCCCAGGGACTGAACCCCAGTTGACTGTGCAAGGTAAATGCCCTATCCACTGTACTATTGTTCAGCCTATATTAAACAATTTTAAACTCAATTTTACAATAGGAGTAGTTTATTGAACCCCAGATATAAAAAGAAAATTTCTTGAATACTGCTTAACATGAAAATGAATGAATGAATGGATCAATTATTTAATAGTTTGGTCAGATACCACATGGTTTATGTGTATACTTTTCCCTTAAATGGGCAGGTAAATGGAGAAGTAGTGTTTTAGAGGTTGAACATTTTAAGACATTAAAGTCAAGAAATATAAATATGGTTAACTCTAACTCCTTTGCTCATCTTTGTTTCAATAACATTTCATTTCTATTTCAGTTCTTTCTTTTTCACTTCTCTTTATTTTCTTTTTAACTATCATTGGTTGTGTGCACATCTCTCACTAGGCAAGAAGAATAGTATTTTTCCGGTCAGTGTTTTGAAGGTTAGTAACTTGTTTTGATATGCTTTCCAGGCTGTGCTACTTCTGGAACTACAAATGTATCTCAAGTCTTTCCCCTTTACCACTCTTAGTCACAGATTAATCACCATATCTTACTCATCTGCTAGGTTAAGTTTCAATAAGACAACCAGTTTAGTTATTCCTTTTTCAGCTCTTGTGATTATGTCTTTATAACTAAAACCTCCACATTAATATTTATTGGTCAACTCAGGCATAATTTGGTAACTTCTTGCTATTCTTTATAATATATGCTCTATAGTATCTACTCAACGTATATAATACACTTTAGGTTAAGTTCAGCTCAGATCAGCACAAAATCTTTGTGATTCCTCCCAGCTTTAAATGAAGTAAATTTATCATCATCAGTCTGAAATTAAACCTAAGTTATAATCTGAATGGTTGTATGCATATTTCAATGTCAGTAATGAATTTTTATAGGAGAGTAAAACATTTCACTTAAATATTTATTCATTCATTTTTCTTTCATTCACTTTTTCAATAACGATGTGCCATGGTCTGCTCTAGCTGCTGAAGACACAATGATGAACAAGACAGAAAAAATCCAGCCAGGGCCTGTAGTGATAGTACAGGATGACTGATGTTCAATCCCTGGCATCCCATACAATTTCCTGAGTACAGAGCCAGTAGTAAGCCCTGAGCACTGCTGAGTGTGGCCCCAAAACAAAAAGGAAAACAAGAAAAAATAAAGAAAAAGGAAAGTAAAATCTTACCCTAATAAAACTTATAGTGAAGAGTGCAAATTTAAAAGAAGTGACAAAAATATAATATATAGCATAGCCAGGAAGCATATAGGGCACATTGCTGTTTCAGATAAATTCATCAGGACATATTTTTCTAAGGAAATGGCATGAGTGTGGACACATGAATGATGAGAAAATGCTAGTCAAGAGAAGGTCAAGGGAAGAACATCCCTGGCAGCGGGAACAGTATGTGTGAGGCTAAGAGACAGGAATGGCTATGGCATGTGGAGAAGCACAGAGGCAGTTTGGTTGTGCTCGGCAGATACAGGCATTCTACAATGTGTTCAAAGCGTCTGGGAGGATCTTGGAGACAGTGATAACCAGGCTGTGTTTTATTTTGAGTATGATATGAAATTGGAAGCTGGAGGAGAAGGTTTAAAACTGAGAAAAAAGGGATTTGATTTTTCCCCAAGATGATTTCCTTTTCTCCTTACATTTAAAAAGGAAATGATTTGGGGCTGGAGCAATAGCACAGCGGGTAGAGTGTTTGCCTTGCACGTGGCCGACCCAGGTTCGATTCCCAGCATCCCATATGGTCCCCCGAGCACCGCCAGGACTGATTCCTGAGTGCAAAGCAAGGAGTAACCCCTGAGCATCGCTGGGTGTGACCCAAAAAGCAAAACAAAACAAAACAAAACAAAAAAACAAAAAAAAGGAAATGATTTCTAATGATACCTTCTGAATACATTCAGATATCAAAAGGTTTTTTTTTTTTTATTTATTACTAGTGCTGGAGCAATAGCACAGCAGGTAGGGTGTTTGCCTTACACACAGCCAACATGGCTGACCCAAGTTCGATTCCTCCGCCCCTCTCGGAGAGCCCGGCAAGCTACCGAGAGTATCTCGCCCGCATGGCAGAGCCTGGCAAGCTCCCTGTGATGTATTTGATATGCCAAACACAGTAACAAGTCTCACAATGTTACTGGGCCTGCTCGAGCAAATCGATGAACAATGGGAGGACCGTGACCGATTTAATGAATTAGATGAAAAGCAAGCCAGGAAATTATAATTTTTAAAAGGTAGACAAACTGACATTTCTTTTTATCCTTTTTTTTATAGGCGTTTGCTTCAGAAGGGTAAGTCAATGAACTCTCTTGTTCTGCTTTGGGGCTAACTTTTCTCTGTGGTTATTCCTGAGTACTGAGAGGGAGAGGCAAGCTGTTTTCTATGTAGCGATTAGTCTATTGCTCTTTGTTTGTCCTGACAGCAAATGAAGAAATATTTGTATTTCTTCAAAGTCACTGAGATTTTTATTAAAACTCACTTATTGAGTTTTTATCTATTGATTGAAGTGCTGTGGCTTCCAATACTGTTGGTAATCTTTCCTTTGCACGAATCCCAACCCCACAGCACGAGTGAGCCCATGTCTCTCTTTCAACCACGTGTTTAAGAAGTTCCAGTAGACTGCACCTACAAGAATGTTAGTGATGTAGTGAAGATGGTTCAAAATCAAGATGTTTATTGTAGCATTACTGAATTTGGAAAAAGAACTTTTAAAAGTCTAGGGCAAGCAATGGGCTCTTGCCCAGTGATAGTCTGTATGTCAAATTGGGAGTCAGCAGAGAACCTCTGACTCTGTCAGTGGAAGACCTTTCATGGGGTACAAGCTGGCATCTTCCTTCAGTGCTTGTGAATCTGAAGTGATATCATTTGGAACCCAGATTAACAATGTAATTTAGGCTTAGCAGGTGTGGGGGATAAGTAAAGTAAAGTAAAGGCCCTCCCGTTGATCGTCGATTTGCTCGAGCGGGCCCAGTAACGTCTCCATTGGAGACTTTGTTGTTACTGTGTCTGGCATATCGAATACTCTCGGTAGCTTGCCGGGCTCTCCAAGAGGGGCGGAGGAATCGAACTCGGGTCGGCCATCTTGGCCGCGTGTAAGGCGAACGCCCTACCCGCTGTGCTATCACTCCAGCCAGTGGGGGATATGTCACTGAATTTTAGGGATTATAAAACTCATCAGAAAAAAATTTTCTGAAATAATTCTCAGGTGTCAGTATGGGCCGTGTGGTATCGGGCTCCAGCTCCTGTGGACACACGTGTGCCCCTGCCTCTGAGGCATCTCCCTGGCACCATCATCTGTTTTAGAATGAGAAACCAGCTCGGCATTGTTTGGGTGTGGGTACCAAGTATCTCACGGGGTCAGGCTTTGATGCTGGACTTGGTCTCTTGTTTTCTCCTGAACAGTACACGGAACAGGAGGCCAACAAAGTTGGAGTGGTCGGCTGGGTGATGAACACCAGCCAGGGCACCGTCACAGGCCAGCTGCAAGGTCCCGAGGAGAAAGTCAACTCCATGTGAGTGACAGCCCTGGCTCGCGTCCCTGCCGGTTCCCATTAGCTGTCCGCTGTGTGCGGGGAGCTGGCCCGGGAAGCAGCTCAGGGCACAGCACCTGTCTTGCCTGCCGTCTGACTCAGGCCCAGCAGGTGGCTCTGGACCCCCAAACGCCTCTTGGCATGGGCCCTGTCTGTGAGAAAGAGCGGGGGGTGGGGGGGTGGGGGGGGAGGAGATAGTCCCGTTTTCTTGTTGAGGAGATAGAGGCTGCAGTGCTAGTGGAAACTGTGATTTGCAAGAGAAAACAACAGTTTGGACAGGCCACATCCAGGGTGTGATTCTAACAACGCTGGCGTGGCCGTTCCTCCTGCAGGCCAGCAGAGATGCTTCCAGGCTGGGAGTAGAGCTTCTCTCTTTAGCAACACTCCCTCAAGAAAGAGCTTCACGCCCTGTGGATTTCCTCTGTGAATTCTCCTCTCACACAGGAGAACATCAGGACAGAAGTGTCTCTCCCTGAAGTGGCTGAGGGAACACGGTGCTCAGAGGGCAGCCGTGAGGCTGTGGAAAGGACACCAAGGGGGCGCCTGTCGCTCTCCCCTCCCGCCTGCAGCCTCTGGCTGTCAGTGCGAGTGTGTGGTGAGCTGAGTCCCACAGTCGGAGCAGACCCTGTGGAGAGCAATGCCCATGTGCACCCACTGCCAAAGGCTTCTGCTTCTGGCGCTGTGGTCGCCAGCCCCCTTGCGTGAGGCCGGCCACTAGGCAGAGCCACCTCTCCCCTCACCCCCTCAGCTGCTCAGCTTCATAAATTACACGGCTGTGGCCTGAAAAACACAAATGCAGATTTGAGCATTGTGACATGTTAGGAAACACCAAACACTTTGTAGGCATGACTTCATTTCCTCCTAATCCACCCCATAGGTCGGGCTACAGAGCTCACACCCAGTATATCTTGCTTCATTACTTGCGGTTTGTCTTTATTACACAATGGTTTTAGATTTCAAAAGCAAGACTTTCATTTATTGTGATAAGTGAAGAAGCAAAATAGAGTTTTAAATGCCAGGTTGGTCATCTGCAGCTTTCCCTCTAGCCGCAGCCCCTTTTATGATCACCTAGTAATCTGGGTCTGATCTGATGCTCTCTCTCTACCACTGAAAAACTTGAAGCTCACATTTATAATTATGGCTTTACTTTTACTGAAGCGGACTATTTGATGTGTTTTTAATGAAGTTTAAAAATTCTTAAATATTTAACAACCATTATGTGAACTGCTAACCTCTGTATTTACCCCAGTTTCTTTAAGATTCTTTTAGTGTAAAGTTTGTTGTAGAATTTGCTTTCATAAATTGTGGGGGCAACAGTTAATAAAAAACATTTTCAGTATGATTGTTACAAAGTGCATGAAACATTGTAATGATAAAAAATATTTTTAAAAATTGGTCGTGGGATTGACTGTTGGCACATTATACCCCTTAAACCCTGTTGTGAATAACTTTGTAAATCATGGTGTTTTAATGAAAAGAAATGACGAAACAAGTGTCAGAGGGACCAAAAGAAAGGAAAGGAGGAAAAAAGGGAGGGAGGGAGGAAGGGAGGGAGGGAAGGAGGGAAGGACAAAGGAAGGGAAGAAATGAAGGAGGAAAGAAGGGAGGGAGGGAAGGAGGGAGGAAGGAAGGAAGAAAGGAAGGAAGGAAGGAAGGAAGGAAGAAAGGAAGGAAGGAAGGAAGGAAGGACATATTGCATGACTTTAATTAGTTTTATAGAACTAATTCAGTGAATGAAGAGAAAGCCAGAAGCCATGAACCTGAGAACGGGCTCTGCCATGGGTGTTCAGCCGGGTTTTCCCTGCTCATGTTAGAGTGAGTCTGGTTCACTTCCTCAGTGTCGGTGTACTAATGTACAGTCTGCACATTTAAAACTGTTGGTCTCTACATAGCCCTTTCACGTTTGTCTCGCACAGACGTGCACACCACACACACTTATGTGCACAGGCATCTTTGGGTTTTAGTCAACATTTTATTCTTAAACTAAGCCGTAGTATATTTTCTCTGCATCTCACTTTTATCAATCCAAAGTGCTACCAGGAAAATGGCATGGCTGTAATTCATGTCTTGTAAATGGCAATTGCATATAGATATACTGTTTTTTTCATTACCTTGCTCGAGGCCCTCCCGTTGTTCATCGATTTGCTCGAGCAGGCCCAGTAACGTCTCCATTGGAGACTTTGTTGTTACTGTGTTTGGCATATCGAATACGTCACGGGGAGCTTGCCAGGCTCTGCCGTGCGGGCGAGATACTCTCGGTAGCTTGCCGGGCTCTCCGAGAGGGGCGGAGGAATCGAACTCGGGTCGATTACCTTATTTCTAGGAACTCATTTTGTTTCTTGTTTTGTTTTTCAATAAAAGCAGTGCTGCACAAACATTTTCTTTTTATGGGCTAAATCTACTTCCATGAGCATTTGTTGATTGAAGTATTCATGTATTCTATTTATTTTTTTATTTTTATTGACTCCATAATTCTAGTTTGTTTTTATAAAGGCAATATTTATGAGTAATTCCTGTAGTTTACCTGCCAATTTACTTGTTCTACAATCTTTTCCAATTACACCATATTATAATACCCTATATGGCTTTTCTATTACACTGGTAGCACAGTTAGAATAAATATTTCAGTTCCTCCCACCTTACCATGAACTGTCTATTCCTGAAACAGGATTAAGAAGATAACATATTAAAGATAATATATTAAAAATAAAGTTGTTAAGCCCTTTATATTTAATCTCAAATAGTTCATATTTTATTTATTTTTTAATTGAATCACCATGAGATACACAGTTACAAAGATGTTCATGACTGGGTTTAAATCATACAATGTTCCAACACCCATCCCTTCACCCAGTGTACATTTCCCACCATTAATGTCCCCAATTCCCTCTCCCCGTTCACAGTCTGCCTCTATGGCAGGCACTTTTCTTCTCTCTCTCTCTCGTTCTCCTTTTGACATTATGGTTTGCACTACAGGTTCTGAGAGATTATCATATTTACCTACTTTCAGCATTCAGTTCTTGTCCAGAGCTATCATTTCCAACTATCCTTGTTGTAAAGATCCTTTCTTCATCCTAACTGCTCTCCCCACCCTCCATTCCTCCCCACCCCTCTGCAACTTATGGTAAGCTTTGAACCAAGCAACAATCATCCTGGTCCTTGTTTCTACTGGCCTTGGATATTAGTCTCATATTGTGGTGTTTTTTTTTCATCCCACAAATGAGCACAATCATTCTATGTCCCTGTCCCTCTGACTCAGTTCACTCAGCATGATACTCTCCATGTCCATCCATTTATAAGCATTTTTTTTGACTTCATTATTCCTAAAAGCTGCAGAGTATACCAATGTGTAGATGTACCATAGTTTGTTTATTCAATTGTCTGTTCATTGGCACTTGGGTTGCTTCCAGATTGTGTTTTTGGGCCCCAGAGTATATTCCCAGAACTGGTATTGCTGGGTCATATGGAAGTTCAATTTCTATTTTTGTGAGGAACACCAAATACGACAATGATCAAATACGACATCATTGGTCTGACCGAGACAAGAAGGCACGAATCTCACCATGCCGTTTTCGACACTGGAGAAGAATTGTTCCTCGGAATATGCGATAAAAGAGGTGTTGGAGGCGTCGGTGTCCTTGTCAACACAAACTTGGCCAAGAGCATTGATTCATTCGAATGCCTAACAACCCGAATCGGACGTTTACATTTGAATAGATGTGGCTCACTGCCTGCAGTTTCTATCTTCGTTGTCTACGCACCAACATCTCATTATGATGAAAGAGAAATCGAGAAGTTCTACATGGAGCTAGAGAAGTTCTATAAAGAAGACCACACCTTCTACAAGATCATTGTGGGTGATTTTAATGCCAAGATAGGACCGAGAAGATCAGCTGAAGAACTTCACATCGGGACCCATGGCCTAGAATGGAACGAACAGGGTGAGAGACTGTCTGAGTTCATCATGTCGACCAAGACCATTCATGGTAACTCACAGTTCCAGAAGGCAGAATCTAAACGATGGACATGGGAGTCTCCCGGTGGACAATTCCACAACGAAATAGACCACATCATATTCAATTGACGGTTTTGCCTGACTGATGTCGCTGTTGTCCCAAAATTTTGAACGGGATCGGACCACTGTCTCCTCCGTGCAAAATTCTACTTCACAGAGTGGGGAGAAAGGGCTGCAAAGTTCAAAAAGAGAACTCCCAGAATGACCACCAACTGGGAACTCTTTGGTACTATTGCAGCAACATGGGAAGATGCCATTGTTGACAACATTGACGAGGAATACGATCGACTGGTTCAGCACCTCCATGAATGTGCGAGGAACGCCAAGAGAGAGATAGCCACAAAAAATCGCCTATCTTCGAAAACTCTTGAGCTAATTCGCCAGCGTGGTTTGGCGCATGCCTCAGGCAACCGCAAGCTAACGTCTGAGCTCGCAAAGCAGTGCAGAGATGCGATCAAGGAAGACCTCAAAGAGAGAAGAGCAGAAGTACTGGTAGATGCGGCAGAAGCTGGGAAAAGTATTCGGAACACCCTCCTGTCCTTTGCCAACTACAAGACCAAGATGACTGCCCTCCGACGTCCTGATGGATCCATCACATCCTCCAGAACGGCAATGGAGAAGATTATCCATGACTTCTACTCAAATCTCTTCGATAGCTATGTCCACTTGCCGACATACCAAATTCCACAGGATGGATATGTCGTTCCCAATGTTCTCCCTTCCGAAATCCGACACGCCATTTCGTCAGTAAAGAAACAAACAGCACCCGGCCCAGACAAGGTCAGACCTGAACACCTGAAGAACCTGCCATCAGTACTCATCAATACACTGGCTCGGCTCTTCACTCGCTACCTGTCTGAATGCAAGGTTCCGTCCCAATGGAAAACCAGCAGGACCGTACTACTGTTCAAGAAGGGAGACATCCATGACATTGGCAACTATCGCCCGATCTGCCTATTGTCTGTCA